AAGAGTGAAAAGCATCCCTGGGGGGATGGTCACACGGCAGTCCTCCTCCAGCTCCTTTCTTTTGGGAATTTTGGGCACACAGGCACACATTCTCAGCATGTTTCTCTCTCTCCCCCCTTTATTTTGTAATTTGCCAGAGGACATATATGCTTGCTAGGAGAAAGAGAGAGAGAGAATGAGAAGGCATGCCTCCCACAGGGAGTAGTCATGCCACAGTCCTTTCTCCATTTCCCTTTCCCTCAGGGATTTTGGTTATGCATGCACCTGCACCTGGTATGTTTTTCAGGCTGTCCAGTCCAGGACCTAAACTGTGCAGTCATCCATGTGGGATCCAGCTGCTTTGACCACCATACCACCAGCTGGCGTGTGTTTCACAAGCTGCAGGGTCCAGGACTTGAACTCCATAGACAACCATGTGGAATCTGGCTGCCCTAATCACCAGGCCACAGAGGACCCCCTCCCCCTTTTTCGTATTTTAGAACCTATCATTTCCTTGCGAGGGTTTATAAACCTGGTCATATGTGGTTCTGTTGGTAATCCAAAACTGGTTCTTAAGATACCTTTGAATCTCCACTTTTTAAAGGTGCTGATTTTTATTTTCTTATCTTCCTTTGCAGTTGCTGCCTGTACATCTCAAGGCCCTGGGATGAACTTGTCTCACTCTGCTTCATCCCTTAGTCTACAACAGGCCTTTTCCGAACTTAGACATGCCCAAATGACAGAAGGACCCAGTACAGCACCTCCGAACTTCAGTCAGACGGGGCCAGCGTTTCCCGTTGTACCTCCCTTCTTGAGTAGTGTTGCTGGGGCCCCAACCACAGCATCCGCCATACCTTCAGTATCTGTCAGTGCCACAGGCAGTCTTCTGGGTGACGTTGCCACATCAGCAACTCATCCTGAGGTGACAGTACCCGCTGAGGCGGGGATGGCTGGAGTTGTCACTAGCACAGGTGTGATAACTCCAAGTGGTCTCCCTGTGCCACTTGTGTCTGAGTCGCCAGCACCCTCCAGTGTAGTCTCAGGCACCACTGTACCTGCCGTGGTCCCGGTACCAACATCGCAGTACACTCAGGCCCCCACGTCTGGAAGCACTGTTTCCAGTACTGGCACCGGTCCTTCCATAACAACCCCTGCAGTGGGCAGCGCTGCTGCCCCCGACGCTAAGCCTCCAGCTGTGTTACCTCAGCAGACAGCAGGCAGTAGTAGTGCTGGGACAGCCGCCTTAACAGCGGTTCCTACCACCATTCCCTTCTCCAGTGTAGCTGCCCACCCGTCCCTGCAGCTTAGCAGCAGCACCTCAGCTCCTACTCTAGCTGAAACAGTGGTGGTCAGTGCACACTCTCTAGATAAAGTGTCTCATAGCAGTACAGCTGGGCTGGCGCTGTCCCTCTCTGCTCCATCATCCTCTTCCCCTGGAATAGGGCTGTCTAGTTCTGTTTCTCAGCCTGCTGGGGTACATCCTTTGGTGGTGCCATCAGCTATATCCTCTGCTCCTGTTCCCCATGCAGCAGGACTGACATCTACACCTTTACTGCCCCAGGTACCCAGTGTCCCCCCCTTGGTACAGCCTGTTGCCAATGTGCCTGCTGTGCAGCAGACTCTGGTTCATAGTCAGCCACAGCCAGCTTTGCTTCCCAGCCAGCCCCATACTCACTGTCCTGAAATTGACACCGATACTCAACCCAAAGCTCCTGGGATTGATGACATAAAGACCCTGGAGGAAAAACTGCGATCTCTCTTCAGTGAACACAGCTCATCAGGAGCACAGCATGCCCCTGTCTCACTGGAGACGTCGTTGGTAGTAGAGACAGCTGTCACACCAGGCGTCCCAACCACTGCTGTTGCACCAAGCAAGCTCATGACTTCCACTACAAGCACTTGCCTACCGCCTGCAAGCTTGTCCTTGGGAACAGCTGGTTTGCCGGTTATACCAGTGGGCACACCTGGGCAAACTTCTGCTCCAGTGAGCACCGCATCAGGAATGAGACCTGGAACTGCCCCCCAAAAGCCACCGCTAACTAAGGCTCCGGTGAGATTCTCATGATAAAATAATTAGATAAGTAAAATCCATGCAAATTAGAAATGTAGTCATAAGGATACCTGACTTACAATAGAAACTCAGTAGAACAAACTTGTGATTTTAGACTATATGTACATTGAACATGAGGGGTTTTGTTTTCACTGTGGCAGGATTTGGGGGTTATAGTGTACAGTTACCTAAGAATGCATACTTACCATGTACAATGCAGGTGTTTCCTTCAAATTGGTACATACTAAAGAAATTTGTACCCCAAAGAGGAGCTAAATACATCCCTCAGTAAAATACACATAACAATAGCAGTTCCCAGTCTTTGTTTCAGTTGAGATTGAAGCAAATTTTCTGTTTTCTTATAGATTCCACAGATATAGTTTGTAGTTTATAGCATATTGGAAGTTGGTGAAAGAATTTATTTAGAAGAGGAAGAAATAATCTGATCCTAGGAATGAAATCATTAAAAAGTATTTTCTAATTCTCTTATGGTGGATTTCCTCCCATTCTACCATCTTCAGTCTCTTCAGTCTTCCCCACATAACAACGCTGTATTAGTAATGTCTACTCTGTTGTATGCTTCAGCTGTTTCTCTGCATTATCATTTGTTGGCTTATTGGAAAAGCCATGATGTATTTTTTTCTAGGTTTTCCTGTGCAAAAATATATCATGACTTTTCTGACAACCCAATATAGGAGGTTTTTGGTTTTTATTTTTAATGTTCCAGAATAGGTACTTGCTTGTGCTTGCTAGAGAGAGAAAGCATCCCCACGGGGAGTGGTCACGCTGCAGTCTCTTCTCCATTCCTCCCTCCTTTCAGGATTCTGGGCATGAACGCACACGTGGCCCTGAGAGTTTCTCAAGCTGCCAGGTCTGGCATTCAACCACACAGCTGGCCATAAGAGGTCCACGTGCCTTAACCACTATGCCACTGGCTAGCCTGAGTAATTTTTTTTTTTTCAGAATTACTTTATTTTCTTTATTTTTATATTTTTAATTTGCTACAGAGCTCTTGCTGCTGGCTGGCCCTGGCCTGAGATGTTTAAGTAATTTATAATCGTTACTCAGACAAAGTAGAAATTGTTCAA